TGCAGAGTCACCAGCAGTTATCATGTCTGTTTCACAGATATGCTGGCTGAGATAACAATAGCAGTGTTGTCTGAGCTGATTGAAACTGCTGAACAATTAGAACTTGTAATAAGATACTAAGCACTATCAGTTCAATCAGTCCTAAAAGACTCCTAAATCACTTTAATGACTCCTAAAGCACCATAAAGGAATTTAATATATATTTCTTTTTTTTAAAAAAAACCTCTACAAAAATGTTACAACTAGTTTAATTACATTGCTTTTGCTTTGTTCTTCTGAATGATAAGACAAACAAAACTACTTGAATTACGGAGAGAAGTGTCCTTTCCCCACATCTTACTCCAATGCAAAGAATACTGTGTTGTTAAAAAGATAGTAATAAATGGAGTGAGATAGCTCCAGACATGTGCTTGCATGAAAAGAAAAGCTAATTTAGTTAGCAGAATCTGATCCAGTGGAGGCTCCAACACTGTGAGTGTCGCCCAACAGAGCATAGAGAGGGCTGCAGGAGGAATTGGTGAAAATCGCTTTCCTCCGAGTCCCATTAACAGAGTTGTGTTCCCAGCAAGTCTAGGTCTAACCCACTGGGTATTGGTGCAATTCCTTTCCAAGCTAAAGAAAGCATTAATGCAAGTCTGCATAACTCGTGACTCCAAAAGCCAAACAATGTCAAAAGTGGGGGAAGGAAATACTCTTCTTTTCAATGCCTGTCGGGGACTTGTTGCTGAGTGAGTTTGCTCAACATTAATGCTCTCATAGGGAGAGTTCCCTCACAAGCTTCTGGGGCATACTTGGGTTTGCCAAGCTCCTGTCAGGCTATGAAATGGTTGGTGGGCTGTGACTGGCTTGAAGGAGAGACAGTGTGGTGTAGTGGTTAGAGGGTTGGGCTGATACCTGGGAGACCAGGGTTCAAATCTGAGCAAATAAAACACACCTGGGGGCGGGGGAGCAGATCTTGGGCCGGTCATGGCCTCTCAGCCTAAGCTACCTCCCAGGGTTGTTGTGAGGATAAAACAGGGAGGAAGAGAACCATCTACACCACCTTGAGCTCCTTGAAGGAAAGGTGGGGTATAAACAGAGTAAAACAAAAGAAATAAATGAGACGTGAAGACCTAGGTTGTGCTGTATCTGTTATTCCCCCATGCCCACACTCTTTGAGTAGGTGTAGTTCATATGCAAGCTCCTTACCTGTAGCCCTTCTCTGACAGCCTCAAGAAGATAGGGAACAATAGAGTAGTTCCACAGGTCAGTAAACCAAACCCTAGAACCGTCGACATCTATAGGGCAGGAGAGAAAGAGTCTTGGACCTGTGAGAAAAAAGGAGGTTACATATGCCAAGCATCTTTGGTGAATATGGGTTGAATTACAGCCACAACATCAAGCAAAAAATGACAAGAGAGGAGAAAGAATTGTACACTTAGGATAAAGCACTGCACCAACAAAGGAGCCAGTTAACCCATAATAATAGACTAGGATTTATCTACAAGTTGAACATTTGCTATGGCATCTTTAGTGAGCAGGCATTTAAAATCAAGCTCCCTCAATAGTTGGGCACAGCCTATTTTTATAGGGTTCACATTATAACAAAAAGTGTAATGTACCTGATTCCATGCCTCATAAAGCTCTCATTTTTAATGTAATTACGACACTAAGGAAAAGGTAAACTATTATCTTATGTAGAGATGAAATCTATGTTCTTGACCAAGTGTTTAGAAATGCGTCAAGAGCTCTAACAGATAATTCTGAGTTCTCACCAATAGTAACATCTGAAGAGCTGTGGGCCTCTAAGAACTTGTTGAGATGCTGCCAGACTTTGGGAATCCAGTCTATAATTTTAATTAGTTCCGCATTTCTCATACGGCCACCAATCTCCGTTTCAATGAGCTTTCTTCTCAAGAAACGGCCAAGAAAGCCCTTGACTGGCTCAGTGTGGTTGGCACACAGCACCCATCTGAAGTTGTGGTGGAGCTGAAGGTTTGGTGTAGAGGAAGTTGCCTGGTTCATAGTTCCAATAATGTAGGGACTGTGGGAAACAGATCAGTCAGTATTAACGTCTAGAAAACACAGTATGTAAAAAAAAGAAAAGAAAATCTTTAAGTAATCACATTATCTACTTTTTTGCTACTACCACTGGCATGTGAAGGAAAACTATCTGAGCCTAAACAACAATGATCAGACCTCTCCATCCCTCACACAGTATTGGCTGAGAGTATCTGTGATTTTACAGAACATTTCAGAATATTTCATCTGCTTAAGAAACAGAAGGTACAGAATCTGTGAAGGAATAATGGGGGGCGGGGGGAGAATACTGCACAGGGTGGATAAATTCCACATTTTAATATCAACTAACCCACCAGCCTACTAAATCTTTGGTTGCAGGTCTTATACATTTTATTTATTCTGGGTTGGACCAAGATGGGCAGAAAAAATCAGCCCCCATGCCAGGCTGGGGTGGTGGTTTGGATTAGGCAGAGATGTCTCTCCACAAGCTTTCCTGGCTCAACTAGGCTCCTGCTGAACATGCCGGTGGTCAGGAAGCCCCATTACTGGGGTCTTCACTGGCATGAACCACCAGAAAGCCTCAGAACTGGGTGTTCCAAGGGTGAGGCTGAGCCAGCGCAGGAACCACTGGATCCCAAGCAAATCTTAATGTCATTGAAAACAGCATGGCCTCGAATTATCCTGAACCCTGCACCTTCTGCTGCCATGACTGATAGGGCTGAGGATGAGACAGTGGCCTTCCTGCTCTGCAAAGCCACACTACTGGTGGTATTGGGGAGTTTGGATTACGCCCTAAAAAAGGTCACTTCACTTCAATGGGAACTAAGCCATGGCTAATTTTTCACGTTTGATTTCAATAGTATCACGAGCAACTAATGAGTTGGATCCAGCCAGGTCAAGTCTCAAGGAATGCTCCTGGAGCAAACACACTTTCCTTTCATGAAAGTTTGAGGCAGAACATGCTGTTACCATTTGTGGTACTTGCAGTTCAAGAGCCCATTGAAGATCTCTCCCAGGGAGCTGACATGGTGCAAGTTGTCCAGGATGATCACAAGAGGCATCTCCACAGCATTGTTTTCACTATTGCATTGGTCAGCAAGGTTGGAGAGGTATTGGCGGAGTTCCTGCGATGCAGATGCAAAAGAGAAAATTGGCTTTCAGGCATTTCTTTTGAAGATCTTGAAAGACATGAAAGTGGCTGGATTCAGTGGCAGAACAGTCTTCTGTTAAGGGTGTGATAGCAAACTACACAGGGCCAACATTCTCCCAAGAGAAATAACCTTTTGAATAGAGTATATAATAGCTCGGATGAATTTGACATCTTGTTTAGAATCTTAATTGAAAAGCTGACTATGATCCCACTAAATGCTATTTCACACGAGACAGGAAAAGGTGGTCCTCTTTCATTCTGGGGCAGTTCACAGATGTCCCCTGATACTCCCAAAGAATTGAGATTGCCTCTGTAGGCATTAACAGATCTCTCCTAAAGTGATCATGTAACGAGAGAGCCAGGACCATGAAAAGCATGCGCTTCATGACAGGATGAGGGTAACAAAATTCGGGCTGCCAGGTTTGGCTAAGTAAAGTCACCAAGGTATCAACTAGTTTTCTGCACAAAGCCTTCTACAGAAAGCTACCAGGTCCAAGAATGTCATTGCACAGGACACAGGCTCAGCATTACAAAATGGAGGACTCCTAGGAGGACATTAATTAGTAACTGAATACTATTCTTCACTACACAGAAAAAGTGGTCCTCTTGCAGGCCTTTTTCCACATGGCCTGGGAGGGCAGGGCCCTGACTGACTCCAGCTACAAAAGCTAAGGCTGCTGAACAGAATCTTAGGCTGAGGTATTGTTGAGGGCTTTTTGTTGGGGTGTGGTTGTTGCTGCTGTTATTTTTTTGTATCTTTATTTTGGATCTTGTGATTTAGGTGGATCTGGCTCCATTTGTTATGTTACTTTTTATACGTTGTAAACCGCCTTGAACATGGTCTTAAAGTTGGAAAGGCAGCATACAAATAAAATGACTGACTGGTTGATTTCATGCTGGGGAGTTCACGGGCGTCTCCTAAGATTACTGTCCTTCAGATCCCACCTAGAAGAAACATCAGCTCACCCTACAAGAAGAGTGTCACCTGCATGCCTGCTAAGGCAGGCAAATGCATCAGGGCCTTTATCGCACCACTCTGCTGCTCAGGAACAAATTATTTTGATTTGTAAATAGTAAACTTTTTGGGGGGGGGGGGCAAGTCAATTATATGAATACTCACCTTACTGGACTTGTGATCCACATTAAATGTTGCAATAGCACCATCAGCCAGCTCCCTGCCCTCTCTAAGGACCATGTACTCTGACAGACGATTGGCTAGGTAGGTCTTTCCTGTGCCGCTTGGGCCAGATAAGATGATTCTCCTGTGCTCCATCAGTAGTGACACATAGCGCTGCAGAATAGGCTTGGGGATCAGGGACTCAAACACCAGACAGTCCAAACTATTCTCTGCAATCCCTGTAACAACAGAAGACGTGGCATTCAAAACTTAAGAACTAAAAGTTATCTCCAGAAGATTTTATTTAACAAAATTTATAAACTACTTTATTGTAGCATAATCTCTAAGTTGTTTACAACAACTAATTAAATTATAAGAAAAACCATTTAAATATAATTAAAACCAACCATAAAATAGATTAAAACATTTCAGCATCTACGTGTCTGGATAGGCTTTCCTAAACTTGCTCACTTCAGGGGAGTGCAACTCTGTCCACAACAAGCTGCCTTCCCACCTCTCAGAACTGAGGATACTTAATACACCTGTCTGATAAGGATTCAGCTTCAATCTATTCCGCCATGGCTAGACCACACTTGAAGTCCTGTGATTATCAAGGGGCTGGAAATCAAGTTTATGAGGAATGGTTGAGGGAGTTTAGCCTGGTTAAGAGGAGAGGAGATCCGATAGCCATCTTCAAATATCTAAAGCAGGCACAGGCAAACTCGGCCCTCCAGATGTTTTGGGACTACAATTCCCATCACTCCTGACCAGCTAGGGATGATGGGAGCTGTAGTCCCAAAACATCTGGAGGGCTGAGTTTCCCAAGCCTGATCTAAAGGACTCTCGCATGGAAGATAGAGCAAGCTTATTTTCTTCTGCTCCAAAGGTTAGGACCCGAAGCGATGGCTTCAAATTACAAGAAAGGAGATTCCAACTAAACATCAGAAAGAACTTTCTGATGGTAAGAGTTGTTGAACAGTGGAACGAACTCCATTGGAAGCTGATGGACTCTCCTTCATTGGAAGTCTTTAAGCAGAGGTTGGACGGCCATCTGTCATGGGTGCTTAACTGAGATTCCTGCATTGGGGGTTGGACCAGATGACCCTTGGGGTCTCTTCCAACTCGACATTTCTGTGCTTCTAGATTATTGTTATGTACTTCTAGGTTTACAGGAGGAAACACACCAGTGCCTCCATCAAGGTGGATGGTACTTCCAATGAAGCACTGATCACTTCCTGGACCCTGACACAATAGTCACTCCCCTTAGACTAGCTCTAAGAAGCCAAGGCTCAAGAGGGTAGATTCATGCTTCCAGATTCTACACATTTACTATGATTGTCATGTAAATATGCCTCACTTTAAAACAGCATTCCCGCCTCCACCCCAAAAAACTTCCTCTGAATTCAAAATACTTCTGTTTCCCCTGAAAAACCAAGTGATATGTTGAATCTTGTTTTGCACATTATGGGATAAACAAGGGAGACTACAATGAAACACTGCAGTGTGGATTATTCCTGTTCAGAATTCCAACTAGTCAGCTAGCCATGGCAGGGTTCTCACTAGCCACGACAATCTGTTCCATTGCCCCTTGCCCCTTTTCTGTGGGTTCCCCCTCCCTCCAACTGATATTCAATATTTCATGGTTACCCCAGGGTGGTGGTGGTTCTCTCTTAGCTTTAAAAATATTTTCTTCCTCCATATTTTTTTGTTTAAAAATGTATCTGCACACATATTTCTGTAAACCAAGGCATTCTTCTGAGCATATTGATACTTCCCTTCTGTGGCTGTGTTTTGACTACATAGCTGTTGGCACTCGCTGCCAAAGTTTAATATTAGAGGGAGTGTTATGTTTTCTGGCAGAAAAACTTCCACCAGGGGGGCGGGGGGAGAGACAACAAGCAATGTCAGCAGGGAGAATTGACTGTGAAAAAGGTCAGCAATTCTTAGAATCCCGCAGATGGAACTTCAGCTGGGAGAATACATAGGGATGGAATGTTTATCACCTGTTAAAAATTATCAAGCTTAAACATTTGTATGAACAGCTGTATATCTGGAAGGTAGAAATGTTACCATGAAACGACTTAAAAAGCACTTTGATCGTATAAAAATATGTGTACTATAACCTGACTCTTAAAATCCAGCATTAGCGTAGTTCTTGAAATGCCTAAATAAATAACTTGAAATATACATAAATAAACTTCAGCAGTCGAAGCTTGCCTGATAGTCAACAATTACAAACAAGCAAAAATACTGGCTGAAATTCCATCTGCTATACAGCAGTTCCAAGGTGTAAGATCCCTGTTCCTTTTTTTATGCAACCACCCTAATGTCAGTGAACATGAATGCTTCTTCATTTGGAACTTTTCACTCAAAGAAAGACATGAAAAGGATAGGAAGAAGAAAGAAACTCATGAAAATGTCTCTTGCTCCTCTGAGGTTTCTCCAACGCCTGGCAAGACCTGTAATTACAAAGAACAGTAACAAATGGATCACCTATAATTTACCTTTGATAGTCACCGATATGGTATTGTTTTCACCAACCAGATAGCCACAGGGAAGCAGCTCAGGTGTCTCCATGCTATTTGTGCGAACGATTTCCCCAATGCTGTATCCCAGGACGCTGTCTGAGTTCAACCCTAGCTGACTCGCAGGATCAACATGAATGATGTATTCCTGTGAAAGGGAAGTAGAAAAGAATAATAACAATACATCAACCTTATCTTCAAGGGTCTTGGTTCCCTAATATTGAAATTTCACAACTGCATTTTTCATTTAGAAAACGAACTAATTTGTGCAATGAAGAAAGGCAAACTCAAAGTCTATTTTAATCAAATAGTAAAGAGAGGGAAAGGGTAACAGATATATGCAAAAACCACACAGCGTATCAGCTGACCCACCAGAGATTTCAGTCCTTGTTGCACCATCACACTCAGTTTCCATGTAAGAGAGTTAATATAGGACTTTTCTGTCTATGTGAAATGTACTGTATATGCACTGTATATTTAAATTAAGAGGTGCAGACACATATGAAGCCCCGTATACATTATGAAAAGAGGCCAGGTGCTGGACAAAAACAACAGCAACAGGGGGTGTTGTCATCTCCCTACCCTGGTTGTGAACTTTCAGAGGCATCAGGCAGTCTACTTTTGGACAAGGTGTTTCCTGGATGTTGAGTCCTTGAATGTTCTTGGACTCCCAGCTCCTATCAGTTGCAGCCAGCAAAAGCTTTGGAGATGATAGGAGGAGTGGCTCAACAACATATGTGGACCCATTGGTGGGAAAGAATGGATTAGGTGGAATTTTGACCTCACCCAGCAAGGTATTTCTTACATTCCTCCTTTTCAGGCTATGGCATAATGCATGAAGCCTCTTCTTTCAGTGAGATCACAAGTATCAGAGGAAAAGTGACAGTTGCCACACTGCATATTACAATGGAAGTACTGTGGTACCTCGGGTTAAGTACTTAATTCGTTCCGGAGGTCCGTTCTTAACCTGAAACTGTTCTTAACCTGAAGCACCACTTTAGCTAATGAGGCCTCCCTCTGCTGCCACGCCGCTGGAGCACGATTTCTGTTCTCATCCTGAAGCAAAGTTATTAACCCGAGGTAATATTTCTGGGTTAGCAGAGTCTGTAACCTGAAGCGTATGTAACCTGAAGTGTATGTAATCCGAGGTACCACTGTACAGGTCTTGCATATCCTCAGTTGGCATTTATTTGAATCTCTGCAGCCGGGAGGATGCAGTGGTCAAGAAGGATGTACCATATGACCAGATACACATTGTGTATTTGGTCTTCTCTTTTGACTTTTTTTGTTTTAAAGATCTGAATGTTGAAATAAAGTAAGATTATTTAGCACACACTGCAGCCAGTACTTAATGACTTTTCAGAAGCCTACATTATATACGGTGTAAAAAAAATAATGTATACAACATAAAGAGAAATACGATGCTCAAGTTAGTATGTTTTGCAGGCTGCAGTACATCGGGCCTTGGGGAAGCCTCACTTTAAACTGATGCAGCAAAGGAACCCATCAGAATAGTTTTCTGCCTAAATAAAAAAGAATAGCTTTCAAAGCTATCCAAGTTGTTAGAAGTAACAAAAATAACAACGTTCACCTTAAACAGCCTTCTAACAACGCCATCGAGAACATCCCATTTGGTCTTTCCACTGACGCCTATGCAGCCGATAAGGAAGAGGCGAGGCCTGGAATCCTAACGGCATACAAATATGTTAAAAGAAAGGCAAATATGGTGCTGTTGCAGCACTATATAAATTATTTCACCATCATCCAAGCTACTTCAGTGTTGAGACAGGGCTGAGACATAACCCCTACATGTGTGCCATTGCAGACCTGATCTATTCTTTGACTAGGAAAGCATGTACACTGGGGATTTCCTACGCAAATAGGGCAGAACCTAGACACAAAGAATTCTGTATGCTCACTGGCACCTCATCAAATTATGTGCCAAGTTCCTAAACACTAGTGCAGTCTATTTAACCACTTTGCTAACTGAAATATATGGGGGTGGGTGGGTTGTCAAATGATTTATTGAATTATGACCAGAATTAAATTAAATCCAGAGCATTTCCATAATCCACTAATTTAGGAATCCAATCTAAAAACACAGGTAGGATTAGTCTGGAAGGAACCATTTGTGTCAAACCCGTGCTGACTTCTGTAAATCATTGTTACCATGAAGCTTACAACAGATCCCTTTAGAAGTCAAAAAATGTGCTCCCATGTGACATTACAAGCCTTCTAAACCTAGCAGGCGAGTTCTGCAGATAAACAGGTGCCTCTCTCATTACCCTGCACCTGATCTAGGTCTTGGATCACTCGTCACTAGTAATGTTTATTTTAAAAGTTAATTTAAAACCAGTGAACGGGAGAAAGGGCATGTTTCAGCTTATACAAGACAGATCTTGAAAACTTCCTCCAAGCTAAGCAAGTTTGGTTCAATTTCTCTTTTATTCATGCCAAGTTCCTAGGGTACTAGCAGGTCTGGACTTCACAACATCCATGGCTGCTGGCACTGTGTCTAGACTAGAACTCTAAGCATACTCATCCCATTAGAAGCCGTGATAAAGGAAAGGTCCTAGTGGGAACCAGGCCAAAGCTGATCTTTTGAGAATGGAAGTACTTCTGAGGGCGGGGTTGGAGAGTCCTTTTTTTCTTAGTCTTTGAAAACTAAGGAAATAGTTGGATGCAACCCACTAAAATAAAGTTTCAACAGAGCAGACCCACTGAAATGAATTGACCTAGGTTAATCATGTCCATTCATTTCAATGGGATTACTCAGAGTATGACTAATACTGCATACAACTTATTTCTGTAGATTTTCCACTCTTTGGAATATTCCATAGTTCTGCTCTCCCAAGGGGAACTTTTTCATGCAGCTGATCAAAGGATTACAGCAAAGCCCTGAAGGGATTGACTTTGAAGTTGTTTCACCTGAAATCAGGTGAGTAACAGGTGGTCAGCCAAAACTGGGCTCCAGGGGTTGGAGGAGTTCAGGATCTGGCCGACTGGCCAGGTCCCCATTTTTGTTCCTGCTTCAAGCAGTTTCTTTAACCTTCCATTCATTTAAGCATAACATTATTCTTATGATCAGCCATTGGGTCATTAGTCATTTCCAAGAAGCAAACTAGTGACAAAACCTGAGTCTTGACTGCATTGCTTCAGACTACAGATAGGACTTCAAGTGACAAAAATACTTAAAATAGTGAACGATGTGGGTTTCCTTGCAAAAACTTCAGTCTACGTAGCATGCCAACAGACCTAGTCTCTGATAACGTGTAATGGAA